AAAATTTATATTGGATTGTGTTGGATTGAACCAATATCTGATGCATTAATAAAAAATAGGAATATACGTGACAACAATAGAATAAGTTTGAATTAGAATTAATCTAAGTTTAAAAAAAATGAACAAATTAAACGGTTCAGACATTAAATTAAACCAATCCAAAATATTCATTAGATTGAATTGAATTGAATCTGATCCATTTATTATGGACTCAGATCGGACCAAATCCAGTCTAATTGACACCAAATCCAGTCTAATTGATCAAGATAATTATAGGCACAAAAAAAACGGTGTTTTCTACCCCATCGTTTACAAACTTTACCTGACCTGTTGGACAGATGGCTTAGTGTCACGGTCATAATATCCATTCGGATCAACCTTTATTTTATAAAAATCAGTTCATTTGGTCAATGACACATTGACTTGATGTCTTGGCGATTGAACGATCCATTTCACCCAATCAGATCCTATTTTTCTAAGTTTGTATGTTAACGGGCATCACTGATCACTGATTGACCCATTGATCCAGATGGATGAAGTGATACCCATTAACCCTAATGGTGGAAATGTTTCAACTTTCAAGCTCCAGGCCGGATTCAAACTAAAATATATAATAAATATATGTACTAGAATGAAAATTTATAATGTTATATTTATCCTATATATCTAAGAAACTACTTAAATTATACACTGAACTTTCAAAACTTATTTATATATCTTATAACATGGCCCCGCATCACATAAATATCCCATCTATTAAATAAATCAAAGCTGTTAGATATGCCATTAAATTATTTTATAATTTCATTTTTACCTTTATTCTTCCTTCTAATGGAATGAAGAGAGGCCGCAGCTATCATGACCAACAAGATGCAACAATTCAGATCTAGAAAAACTGATATAGAATTACAATCAAGGTTTTTAAAATCGAACCGAACAACGAACCAGACAGGGGTTTGGTTCTTGTGTCGAACTGTCCAACCATTCGAACTGAATGGGTGGTCCATTCTAATAATAAAATAAAAAATAAAAATAAATAAAAAATGGTCAAACTATTGGATGGTTCAACCGCCCGGGTTAATGGTTTGCTGACCAAATCAATGGTTTTTGGCAAAATAATGGTTTTGGGGTAAAATAAAACTGGTCACTTGATCGGTTCCTAGTTTTTACGGTCTGATTGTCTGGTCCGGTCCAGTTTTGAAAACCATGCCAAAGGCAACCAGATTTGACGACAAGAAATCACATGACGTAATCATAGATCTGGAACGAAGATGAACTTGGAATGGAAACAGAGTAGATGGAAATTTGAATTAGAGACTTGAGCTCGAGCTTGAGTCAAAAGATCGGAAGTTTGAGCTCGGCTACCTTTGATTATAGGTCTTAGTAGTCAAGGTGCCAAGCCGAGGTCGCCCTAGAAACCGAGGTTCCAAACCAAGGTCTCCCTCAATTGCCGAGGTGCCAAACCGAGGTCTCCCTCATTTACTGAAGTTTCCCTAACAAGCAAGGTGTTGAGATGAGATCTCCTTTAGTTGACAAGGTCCCAAGCTGAGGTCTCCCTCAGTTGTCAAGGTGTTGAGCCGAGATCTCTCTCAGTGACTGAGGTGTTGAGCCAAGGTGACACCCTATGTACACACTCGATTAGGCTCCTGAAACCTTTGATTGCAGGTCTCCCTAGCAGCGAGGTGTCGAGCCAAGGTCTCCCTCAATAGCTGAGGTCTCCCTCAATTGTTGAAGTGTTGAGTTAAGGTTTCCCTAGCAAGCGAGGCGTCGAGCTGAGGTCTCCCTTAGTTGGCGAGGTGTTAAACTGAGGTCTCTCTCAGTTGTCGAGGTGCTAAGCCGAGGTCTCCCTTAGTGGCCGAGGTGTCGTCTAGCTCGAGCTCAATTCGAATTAGAGGCTTGAGCTCGAGCTTAGAAGTTCGAGCTTGACTACCTTCGATTGTAGGTCCCCTAGCAGCCAAGATGTCGAGCTGAGGTCTCTCTCAATTAGAGAGAGAGTGGCATTCTTGTAATTTATAAGGAGAGAGAGAGTTGATAGGAGAAAGAGTGGCATTATTGTAATTTATAAGGAAAAAGAGAGAGAGTTGGTAGGAGAGAGAGAGGAGCATTCTTATAATTTGCAAGGAAAAAAAGCAAAAGAGAGAGTTGGTAGGAGAGAGTGTGGCATTCTTGTAATTTGAAATAAAGAAAAGCATGAGAGAGAAAGAGACGGTAGGAGAGAGTGGCATTCTTGTAATTTGTAAGGAGAAAAAGAAAAATTCAGGCCCTACGTTGCAAGGGCTCGCTCATAAACTATTAGGCTTGAGCTCTATTCGAGTTAGAGACTTTAGCTCGAGCTTGAGCTCAGCTCAAGTCAAAAGCTTGGAAGTTTGAGCTCAGCTACCTTTGATTGCAGGTCTCTCAAGTAGTCGAAGTGCCAAGCCGAGGTCTCCCTCAATTGTCAAGGTGCCAAACCAAGGTCTCCCTCAGCTACTGAAGTGTTGAGCTGAGGTTTCCCTAGCAGGCGAGGCATCAAGCTAAGGTCTCCCTTAGTTGACAAGGTGTCGAGCTGATGTCTCCCTCAGTTGTCAAGGTGCTAAGTTGAGATTTCCCTCAGTGACCGAGGTGCTGAGCCGAGGTGACACCCTACGTACACACTCGATTAGGCTCGTGAGACCTTTGATTGCAAATCTCCCTAGAAGCCGAAGTGCCAAGCCAATGTCTCCCTCAATAGTTGAAGTCTCCCTCAACTGCTAAAGTGTTGAGTTGAGGTTTCCCTAGCAGGCGAGAAGTCGAGCTAAGGTCTCCCTTAGTTGACAAGGTGTCGAACTGAGGTCTCCCTCAATTGTCGAGGTGCTAAGCCGAGGTTTTCCTTAGTGGTCGAGGTGTTGTCTAGCTCAAGCTCGATTACCTTTGATTGTAGGTCCCCTAGCGGCGAGATGTTGAGCTGAGGTCTCCCTCAATTGGAGAGAGTGGCATTCTTGTAATTTATAAGGAGAGAGAAAGAGAGATGGCTAGAGAGAATGGCATTCTTGTAATTTATAAGGAAAGAGAGAGAGTTGATAGGAGATATGGCATCCTTGTAATTTGCAAGGAAAAAGAGAGTTGGTAGGAGAGAGTGGCATTCTTGTAATTTGTAAGGAAAAAAAGCAAAAGAGAGAGAGTGGCATTTCTTGTAATTTGTAAGAAAGAGAGAGAGAGAGTTTGTAGGAGAGAGAGTGGCATTCCTGTAATTTGAAAGAAAAAAAAGTAAAATTTATTGTTAAATTCCATTTCTTACCTTCTTTCATACACATTCCAACTTAATGTATTTACTAGCGGAGGGGGTCCTACATTGTAGGGATTCACTCATAAACTATCAGGCTTGAGCTTGATTCGAATTAGAGACTTGAAATTGAGGTCAAACTTGGCTCAAGTCAAAAGATCGGAAGTTCGAGCCCAACTACCTTTGATTGCAAGTCTCTCAAGTAGCCGAGGTCTCCCTCAATTGCTGATGTGCTAAACCAAGGTCTCCCTCAACTACTAAAGTGTCGAGCTGAGGTCTCCCTTAGTTGATAAGGTGCCGAGCTGAGGTCTCCCTTAGTTGTTGAGGTGCTGAGCCGAGATCTCCCTAAGTGACGAGGTGTCAAGCCAAGGTCTCCCTCATTGGTCAAGGTGTCGTCTAACTCAAGCTCAATTCAAATTAGAGACTTGAGCTTGAGCTCAGACGTTTGAACTTGCCTTGACTTGAACTCAACCTTTGATTGCAAGTCCCCTAGCAGCCGAGATGCCGAGTTGAGGTCTCCCTCAGTTGGAGAGAGAATGGCATTCTTGTAATTTATAAGGAGAGAGAGTGAGAGATGGCATTCTTGTAATTTGAAAGAAAAAAATCAAGAGAGAGTGACATTCTTGTAATTTGAAAGAAAAAGAAGCAAAAGAGAGAGATAGTTGATAGAGAGTGGCATTCTTGTAATTGTTATGAAAAAAAGGCAAAAAATTAATGTTAGATTCCATTATAGATATTGATATCGATATTGATTTTGAAGAGTAATTTTGATCTTTTGAAAATGATGAGTATATCACGTGATACACGCAAAAGAAGACTAGTTAAAGGTAGGTATTAAATTATCACATTTTGGAAATTAAGATATTGGATTGACATTTTTAAAGTTTGAAGACAAAAGTGAGACTAGGCCTAAAGTACAAAGTATCAATCTCCAATTTTCTTAAGGCTTAGTTTAGGAGGAGTATAAATACAAATATGTAGAGTGCAAAACCTTCTATTTTGTATGTATTTGTATTACACACAAATCTAAAGATGAACCCGCATGGATTGGGCTGGTCCATGGATCAAGCCTTGGGCTAGATTGGATTGTAGATTGGGCTAAAGTTATTTATTTAAAAAAATTTGAAGAAAAAACTTATAATTTTAATTTTATATGAATTTTGATATATACAATAATTAAATAAAATTGAAAAAGCATTTATTTTATTAATATATTATATACTATGTGTTATTATGTAATTATGATTTATATAATATATTATATATTATATATTTTATATGCCAGCCCGTGGGCCATGGGCGACACAACACGACAGTGCAGCCCGCTGACCTAAAACCCTAAGCCCGACATGGCTCATCAGCCCATACAATCGTGTCGGGCCATGGGCGACACGACCCAATTTACGCATTTACTTCCAAATTGAACCTAATTGTTTTTATATGCAAATAGGTTTTAATTTTAATTTTAATTGCCTTTTTTTGTTGATTTCTTATTTTGTAATTTTGTTTTCAATAGGGTAACTCTCACCAAACATAACTTTTTTTTGGCAGTAAAAAGCTCAAAAGCAACAGTTTATCTAAACAAAACATTAGTAATTCTTTTTGTTTTTAATAAAAATTTATCCAAGACATGGATGCTTGGACAAGTGATAGGCCTAAGCAGTTTCAAATTGCTTTTTGCCTTAGTTTTGCTTTTCTAATGAAAGTAATTCACGACAACGCAACCAAACCGCTAAAAGTCATTTTTAGCTTCCTTAAGCCAAAAACGCTCCGTAGATCAGCTAACTGCTAACATCTTTTACTTCATCTCTAGTCTCTCAAATTGATCTACAGGAGGAAAGTTCACGGCAAATAGTTGGAGGAAGGATTTCAAGCCCTAAGCAGTTTAGATCAAATCAAGGCTTAGATCGAGAATGCCTCCAAAAGCCGAAACCACTTTGAGTTCTGCTTCAGTGGATCAAATGGATTCCATGGATCCCCTTTTCTACATCTTGAGAATCTTCCCTTACAGCTTCCTTCGCGCCCCTCGAATGCGCCTCAAACTTCCCTCCATCTCTCTCCCTTCCGCCATGACCGTCTACGCTCTCATCCTGCTTACCTACTTCATGGTCGTCTCTGGCTTTGTCTACGACGTGATCGTTGAACCCCCTGGCATAGGGAGCACTCAAGATCGTGCCACCGGTGCCGTCCGACCGGTCGTATTTCTCCCGGGACGTGTCAACGGTCAGTACATCATCGAAGGGCTTTCTTCAGGCTTCATGTTCGTCCTTGGAGGTATCGGTATCGTTCTCATGGATCTCGCACTTGATCGCAACCGTGCCAAGAGCGTCAAGGTCTCCTTTGCTTCTGCTGGGATCTCGTCAGTTGTCATTGCTTATGTCATGAGTATGCTTTTTATTCGCATTAAGATTCCGGGTTATCTTTACTGAGTTTCATAGTAATGTATTAAGGATTCTAGGGTTTTCCTGAGGCAGGCTTTTGAATTACTTTCTCGGATTGTGTATCGAATTATCGATGAAATAGATTTAAAAGACAGTAATATGAGTTTAGCAATTTAACCTGTGTTCTAGCTTTAGTATGCCCATTTGCAGTTCTGATCCGCCTGCAATTACAAACATATAGGTAGAGAAGAGATGAAATGAAATTTAAGCTGTCCTCAATGTGAGTATGGTATTCTTGTTTTTCCAGTGGGTAACCTTATAACAATATTTTCTTCTTAATCACTTCTTGGGAATAAATTTGTTGATGGAAAAACTTAGATATGGGATGCGTAATTCTGTCAGTAAACGGTCATGGGAATTTACAAGTAAAAGTGAATGGGAATTTACAAGAACATAATATCGGCTTTTTATTATAATTATTTTGCATGCCTTTGGATGTAAATATGAAGACATAAAATCACATGCCCGTTAATTTAAATGCTGCCTGGATGATTACTTCATCTAGCTGGAATCTGTCTATAGAATCCAAACTGTGCATTTGGAATTTTAGCATAATATGTTTTTGCACAGAATCTGGCTTCTAGTGTGCACTCCAAACTCCAATGGCCCCCTTGATCTTATTAAGTCATTGTTAGGGGCTGAGCCAGGATTCTTCATTTTGGGGGTGGATTGGGATTGGGAAGGGGTAACACAGAATAAATCCTAACATAATTTTGGGTGGCCACCTATATCACCCCCAACAAATACATAAGGCGATGTTTTATTTTCTTTTCGTATTAGTGCTATATTTTTCTTTAGGGGGCGGATGTATAGCTGCATGGTCCTCCCCTGGTTATTATCACAATCCTGACCTTTGTTTAATGTGTATTTTTCTTATATTATATTTCGATATACAACTAAATATCAAAATATTTAGTTTTGTCCAAATGTTATTTGTTTAATTCATAAACTAAGTAACAATTCTCAATAGAATGATGTTTAGTCATTTAGATCTGGATGAAAGGGAAGGGGATTAAGAGGGAGAAGTGCTATAAAATTAGTAATATTTCCTTATTTCTCTTGAAATAAATTATGTTATTTGCTGCATCATTTAAAGTCCAGTATTTTTATTTAATAAGCTCATATGTTTATTCTGATGAGGAACGTGATACCTTGTCATTACTACCTCAATTCAATGGTGACTTGAAAAGATATCTTGGTGTTGCCTAGGCAACTTAACTGCATGATGTGGTCCCTTGTCACCTGGGAATTTGGTTCAAGCACCTTTTACAATACTGAGGAAAATTTTAACTTTGTTTTGCTGGATAAGCATGATTAAAATGCTTAAGGTCATGAGTGTAAAGGAGTAGAGGATGTGTTTTGCTTCATGGTAGGTGTGAGAGAAGAGGAGTCAAGCTAAAAATAGAAGCTTTTTCCTTTTTCTTTTGGTGACCTTTGGTAGTATTAAAATCTAGAATCTATGGTGCCTAGATATGGATACATACACAAACACGGTAGGAGAAACAAGGATATATTAAGAGGTTGGCAGAAGGTTTCTAATTCATCTATACCAAGGCCTCTAATAGTTTGTGCTCGGACCCCTCCACTGCCAACCACTGTTAAACTGAATTTTGACAGATGCAGCTTAGGTAATCCCAGCTTGGCAGGGATAGGGGTGCTTTCAGAAATGAGGAAGGTGCAATCTTGGCATTATTTCTGGGCCCCATAGGGCATGCCAACTCTGTTAAGGCAGAATTAATGGTTTTGTTGCAAGAGCTGGAAATTAGGACTCTAAATTACAACAATTTACTGGTTGAAGGCGATTCTAGCTTGGTAATCAGATGGTTGCAGAATAAAAGAGTGGGTCCTTGGTGTTACAGGCATACTATAAGAGAAGTAAACAGAATTGCAAGAGATCTGAGAGTCACATGTAATTGGGTAAACAGGACCGCAAATGGATTGGCAGATGCCTTGGCAAGACAATGGACTACTAGGGAGCAGCTTTTTTGGGGTATCACAACAAGGGTGCTGGCCAATGTTTTCAACCTGCCATTGACCCGCTGGTCAAACCGTTCAAACCATCACCCGGCCAGGATTCTGGATCCAGTTCAGTCAAGACCCGTTAGACGGTCAAAAGCCATTGACTTGGTCAAGAACCGTTCAACCCAGCCAGTTCAACCATTGACCTGTCGACCCAGTGACCAGGTCTCGGGTTGCACATTCAATGTATGTAAAACTTTTTATTAATAAAAGTTTCTATTGTTTATCAAAAAAATGTATGCAAAACTTCCAGAGCCCATAACTTTGCACTCCAATGTCTGATTGGGGTGATTTTTTTTTATTTTTGGTAACTTTTCAAGATCTATGTGTCCCAAGGCGTCGTAGGCGCCTTGCCCCACTATTTTTGCGAAAAAAAAACCCTTTTTTGGCCTCAAATTGCAATTTTTAATATTTTATATATATAAAAAATTAAAAACCGAATTAAAATTAAATATAAAATAATACATATAACATATCTAAAACATATTTATACATTATTTATTGCTAAAATATATATTTATACACATATATATATACATATATTTAATACATATATGCGCTGACATATATATACACATATATATGTGTATATATATATATACACATATACATATACACATATATGTACACATATATAATACAACATATATAATACAACCAGCTGGGTCTGAACCATTTGACCCAGCTGGTTGAACCCATGACCTGGCGGCAAAAACGGTTCGGCCTCCAGGTCAGCTTTTAAAACATTGGTGCTGGCTAATGATGTAACATAAGTATCAGTCTAATTTGGGGGGGGGGGGTATCTCCCGTTGTAAGGGGTACTTAAGACATTTTTTCACTTGTTCACTATATATTATTCTTTTCTGATATTAATAAAATTTTCTGTCATCCATCCTGTTCAGTATTATATCTATTATTAAATTGTGGACCCTTAATCATTTTTCACTACTTCACCAGTGTCCTTTTTTGCCTGCCCCTAACTCTTCTAGCCCCTTCAACTTGTAATAGATTTTTTTTAAGCAAATGTTCTTACCATTGCTGAACAAAACAGGATCCATGTTAATAAGAGTTTGGCAAAAGTGTTATTCTAGCTAACAACCTGACACAATACTCCTTTATCCTAGCTTGGTACCAGCAGTTTAAGACAATTTCACCCTGCTGGAGTTTTTTCAAAACTTGTATCTTACCAAATTGAATTAAATTTCTGAAACATACCATACGTACATGACTACATACTTCAAAAGCATTAATGCTATAAAGTACATCTAGAAGCATCAGTGCAGTATCTGGTATTGTATCCACTACCAGTACAGTAAGCATGTAAACTAAAGGCACCTGAATATCATAGCTGTGAACCGGGTTCAACATAAACTAAAGGCATGTAAACTAAAGGCACCTGAAAAGCTAATATCTTATGTTGGATTGACCTCAGTGCATTCTGCCATTCTTCTCCAAAGGGGATTGGAATCCAGTGATTGAGACATCTTAGGGAAAAAATTTTGCCAAAACAGAACCAATTCATGCCTCCTCTCCTTGGATTCAATGATGGAGCAGCTAGAAAGATGAAAAGAAATTTTCTAGGAAGCTGGACGATGGAGGTAGGGGTGCAAGTTGGGTGCAGGATTTATTCATCAAAAAAAAAGGTTGGGTGCCTGATTTAAAGAATTTAGCTCACATGCTTCCTTGCATTCCTCTTTAGCCTTTCTAGTGTGTTCAATGATTGAACAGCTAGAAAGATGAAAAGATATTTTCAAGGATACTGGACGGTGGGGGTAGGTGTACAATTTGGATACCTGATTTAAAGAATTTAGCTCTGTTTCTTTTTTCCTCTTTTTTGATCAATAGAAGAAGGTTTATTGTTTCAAGAAGGTGGATGGCATGGTACTTATCCAATGAGATAGATGACACATTGTTTTCACCGAAGAAGCTCTGTAGGTCTCATGTGGAATCTGATAATTCAGAGGAAAAAACTGCAGCTAAATATGAGTTTCCATAGAGGGTTAAGGATTGGAATGACGTAGAGATTATGTGCAGATATTTCTTTTAGGTTGGTAGATCTGTATTCTCTAAAGATCTTTAGGTTTAGGGTACGTATTCTGTGGTAGAAATCAGTAAGGGATGGCATAACCCATTTTGGTAGGGCCATGCTGTTGAGAGGACGTGCACACCCTGTGCACCAACTTTTTTGTTGCTTCTTTCAATTTCACTGAGAGGTGTAACATTTGTAACAACGGTTGAAGTTACTGAATTGTATGATGTAGCTTTGATTTTCAGTGGATAAATATTTAACTGATAAAAAATTCAAGGGTATAGTAATTAATCCAACTTCAGATTCAGCCATTAAGAAGCCCACAACCTCCTTGAAGACGAAGCAATAAGTCATTAAGTTCAACTACTTCAGCTGCTATCAAATGGTTACTGAGAAGAAGTGATCTGAACCATGGTAAGATGAAATCCTTTTGCAGACCTGGAGCTGCAGGGAGCCAAGATTTTTCTCAGTTTGAAGCTTTTGCGGCTTCCTTCTCAGTAATTTGGAAGCCTCGTTCTTGGAAACATTGTATGTGTTTCAATTCTGTATCTGATTTGTCGCATGTTGTTGATGCACGTTTGAACCTATCGTGTTGCATGTTTGAAATGGTATTCAGGCACCCATTCGAATAGTTTTGATAGCCTTGCATTGAGATTTGGGAATATCTCCCCATGAAATAAAGCATAGAAGTATGGAGATGTTCCCAATGAAAGGCTGTTGGAACGGAGTTTGCACTGACTGAAGCCAATCTCTGCATGTTTAGATTCTGTATCCATTGTTGCAAATTTTTATGGAAAAGTACGGACAGGCCCAATGCAGATTTTTGATTTCTACTGCAGAGCTATAAATATTCAAAATGTCAACAACTCACACTCTATGCATCAATGTCTGCCTGTGAATTGGCATCAATTCCGAGTTGACACCTATCCCAACTGTACTTTGGGCCTACAAATTCTGATCCTGGGCTGAACTGCCATTCTCCCAAATTTTTATGTTTTGAACCTTCATCCTAGACACCTAGCATTTTGATAATGGCTTCATAATTTAAGGAAAACGGGCTCCACTTGATTATTTCGAAGACCAAATTGATTTGGCCATGTATCGTAATCCAACTAAAGCCTATTTGTAGTGATGTCGTAAGTCGAACATTTATTTGGCATGTAAAGAAGGTAAAATTGGGAACATGGAACATGTGAAACCCAGTAACTGTGATGTGACTGACCATTTCCTTGTTGAAAGCAGATGGGTGAAGAGGTTCAAGCAATGCAGTCTGCAACTCATTGTCTTCTACCATTGATCTATGGCTCTAGGCGATAAAATGAAAATAATTTGCAAACCCTTTTGCCAAATCCAAACTCCTATCTGTCAATAAATATATGAAGGTCCAGGGATCTAGGTGTCCATAGATGATAGATCCCACCTTGTGAGAGTCTAAGCCACAGTTGCCCAAAATGTCTCGCTTTAATGGTGTCTTCATCTTCTTCTATTCCACTACCCATTCTCATGTCTTCTACCTACTAAGGCTGTGTTTGAAAACAAATTAAATGCAAATTTGTAAGGTGTAGATTGATATTCTACTGGTTTTGTCAAAATACAAATCGGTTTACATTTTTGTGTTTGATTTACTCTTTTTTCGTTTGGCACCAATGATGTAAATCAATCAGGAGACTTTTGCCAGCATTTGGTAAGTTACACCGACGAAAAAAGTATTGAATGGATCTCCAGGCCTTCTGACTGCTGGATTTCTTGCAGGACCACCATAAAATCTGAAACAAAACAATTATTACTCCACCCTTGATCCTTGCATACCTGTTCATTGAGCAAACATGGACCAGTATGGCTATACCCATATAATGGAGGAAGTTTACCCATTTTTATCATCAAATACTTAGACCAAAAGCATGATCCCTCCATAGTTTTTTACCTCAAAATCGATGTAAATCTTGACATATTTGCATTTTTACATTGATTTTGGGGTGTTTTTACAACGTTTCCAAATACATGTAATTATGGACCGGGCTGCAATAATGCACTGAACTGGGATTTACATTATTTCCAAATGCAGCCTAAAGAATCCCAAAAGTCCTGACGAGTTCATGATGAGCACAGAGCACACATGATATAACAGGAAAAGTCATCAAACGGATTGCCCCTTGACACTAACTACTACAATACCATCACTACTACTTCACAAAGTGGCACAACGATAGAATTCTTTGTATCTAATCCCCTTGGCAAGTAGTCATAAGGCCAAATGTCAAAACACAACAAACTGTTATTAAAGAGCTAATCACTTTTGCATTTGCATGCCGGGAGGTTGAAAAAAGCATGCACCAGCCGGGAATCGAACCCGGGTCTGTACCGTGGCAGGGTACTATTCTACCACTAGACCACTGGTGCTTCTTGACTAATTTACTCACTTTAAATTTTAAATAGGGAAACATTAAAATCGTCATTATTATATATTTATAATAGGGATCCATTTACAACCTTATGCAAATGAAATATATTGCTACGAGTTAAAGAATTCCAAATTCATATAAGGCTACCTGGTAATCTAGGATTTCCATACACCCTAATCCCAGCCTATGTGCTATGGAGCCCTTTGGTGGGACAATATCGTGTAACCAACATCTACTGGTTTTAGGAGAGATTTTGAATTAAATCGTCCCCTCCAATTTTGTTGCCTCATGGGTAGGGGTGATCATTTTTAGCATATCCGACATTATATGTAATTTGTTCATAATTTATACATATGCATGCTATTTTATATGGTTTATATATAAATATTGTATGTAATATAAACACCTATAATTCACATTATATTAGTTTATACATAAAATACATAGGCCTCGAACTCGGGCTCAGGTTATAGCCTTTATTGCAAGTGCAAAACCTGATTGGCCAATTCATGATCACCCTACCCATGAGTCATAAGGGAAAATTACTCAAGGGTTCGACTATGATACTAGAAAGACATGATATCTGAAAATTTTATGATCAATCAACTGGTAGCATAAATGTCTTAATCAATCGGGTGGGGTTTATCAAAATTCATGGATGGGTTTTAATTGATCAAAATTCTTCCAATATCATATCCTTCTAGTATCATAGATTTCCTCATTATTCCAACCTCCCATGTGTTTTTTAATAAATGTTTTAACCTTCTTTGTAATTTTTCTTTTCCAAATTTCTATCACAGAACATTTTCAGTACATTATACAAATAAACCACTTCTATTAGTTTCAGTAAGAACCTAACAAAAAAATGTCTTGCTTTTAAACACTTCAAAATTTCCGATTTGCCCATATATGAACGCCTATACTTCAAAAATGTTCACCTCAAAAATATTTGTTGGGAACATTTTAGCCATTTGACACTTCAAAATTGCCGTTTTTTAAATTAGTCCTTTACATTTTATTACCAAACTAACAAAAGAGACCCTATTTGTGTAATTTTCGAAAATTTGGAGACGTAAAAAGGTATTTGTCAGAAAACACAGGGGAAGTTTAATGTTTAAATAATTTACTAAAAACGAAACTCGGACCATTTCTCCTTGATCTCGCTCACTCGCTGACGTTGCCAGAGTTGAAGTTGGTAGACCCTTATTAAGGTCTGAAAACCTGGGAAACTTTGATCGTCTAGTATTCTTTAGAATGTTGTTGAATCACAACTCACAACGATTCTTCTGTAAACCCAAGCGAAGGGTTCTGCTGCGACTACATTGAAGCAAAGAAAGGCAAAGGATGCAGAGGTTGTGCAGTAAATTCCGTTATCTCTCCGTTTTCTCAACCGGAAACCTCTCATTACGCCCGGCCTCCCATCGTCTCCTCCATTCCCTTCCCCTGCTTCACGATCCAGTCTCATTACCCGCAAACAGAACCATCTTTAATCCCCTCTTTCACAATGTTCCTCCACGAACACTGCCCCGGATGGTGGACCTAGGGTTTCGTCCTTCTTCTGTCGCCGTTGTGGTAAGTATCTTTCTTGTAAAATTTTTTCGCCGATTAATGGTAAAGATTAGGTCTTTCTTTTTTGAATTATTGTTTGATGAATTTCAGTTAAATCAAAGGCGCCATTTTTCGTCGAAGGAGAGGAAGAGAAAGCCGGTAACTCCTGCTACGTCTAAGTTGAAGAAGATTAAGATGAAGTCCTACTCGTGAGTTCCTGCTGTTTTTATTTTCACTACTGTCTGGTTTCTTGAATTTGCAGATTGTTGTTATAATGTATTAATTTTGTTGCCGTGTTTCAGGTCCTTTAAGTACAGATTCAAAACATTGAACAATGGGCAGATTCGGCGATGGAGGGCAGGGAAGCGACACAATGCCCATTTGAAGGTTTGTACTTTTGCTCTACAGCCACTAGAATTGCTTCTGTATGTTTATGAAGGGGCAAAATTTATCATTGGATAAGCCCGAATCTGAAATTAGATAATTTTAATTGATGAAGCTTTTCAAAGACGTGACATGTGAGAGTTCAATTTCACTGGTTTTTCCTTTTCTTCAAGGATGAAGTAAGCATTCTATTAAATGTACAGAAGTCCATTGACAAACTACGATATGCAAAAATCATGACACTATGACTCTACATTAAAGAAGTTATGTAGGTCAAGATAAGGAGCGTCAAGTATCTGAGTTCACCCAACTCTAATATAAATGGGTGGCACAAGGTCCTTGAGTTCTCTAACTATATAAATACCCAAGAAAAAAGCAAAATGTTAACGACCTGATTTGTTCGGCTGTTTTACAAAACTAATATTACATATAATAGTCAAATTCCACCCTTGATTATGAAATTTATGCATTCATTATACTAGGAAGCTGTCAAATGTTTACCGTCCATCTACAAGAGTGTCCTTGACAGAGAGCTTTAGCACACCTTTAACACGTCCACAACAGTCTACTAACCAACCAAGTTATGGTCTAAACTAAATTCCTTAAGCTACACCACTCATTTCTTAGGAATGAGGTCTAAAAATGTTACTGCATTTTCTTACAAATCAAGGATTACCATAAGATTCTTAAATGCCCTATAAGGTCCTTTCTTACTGTTCCAGAACAATGCATATGACCATTAGTAAACTGTCTAGCGCAAGTAGCAAGTACTTTATCCCTTCCTGTATGCCAAAACAATGAGAAGTTTGTTTCCTTGAATCTAATATCTACCTTATAACTTGTGTATTCTGGTTAATATCTAGCCCTTCTAGTTCGATCCAAAATTGAATAGATCAAGTAGCAGGTCAATCAATCAATAAATTTTAAATACAGGAGCTTGGTTATATCCCTTATGATAGAGGTCATTCTGCTTTATTCTTCTTAAAACAAGGCTTTTTAATTTCTGATTTTTGGCACTATGTACGACTACCAAACCCATTTGAACTTGGTCTTCCATGTTTTGCAAAGAAGTTGCCAAATATGGGGAGTGAATCACATCTAAACCCTTTGGGTAGAACTTGATTCTGTTGCTTCTGGTTTTGTTTCCTGAACTATTTAGAAGTCCTTGAATTTTTAAATAGGGGACTTGATCACATGCTTTCTTGTAGTTGACCCCATGCTTCCAAGGTTACAGAAGTAACTTCATCCAGATGACACCCCTTTTCCATATCCTAGATTCTCACTCCATTTCTCTCCTGGCCTCATGATATAGCTCATGCAAATGTATTCCTTGATTTTCATTTCCCCTTTGTTTCAGTAATACAACTTCTATACTTACCTTTCAAACAAAATAAATAAAAACATTTTCAAGTATAGGAGAGTCCATTTGTCCTAGAGTGGGGCCATGAAAATGCTATACATGGTTCTTAATCATCATTGCCCTCTTTGATAGTCTTTTAGTTCCTTGGTATTTTGGCTTTACAGTACTTTTTTTTTGTATAAATAACATGGAATTTCATTAAGATTTAAAAGGAAATATTCATACAAGCAGAGGAAGGTAAACTATCTTAACTCCCTTGCAACCAGCAAAACAAAATTACAGGATTAGAAATGAGCCCAAAACAAAGAATCCCTAATCCCCCCTTTCTTTGCTAGCCCATCCACAAATGAGTTAGCAGATCTCTTCACCCAATTGAATTTTATCTCCATATCTTTTGCCAACCATTTAAATTTTTTCCTTTCGTTGCTGTAATTCCACATTGCAATCTTGTCTTCCTTTAGCCATCTTACCACCACCTCCGGAGTCCCCTTCAATTATCAGTCTCCTAATGTTCAGGTCTCGTGCTCTTTGAACTCCTTCCAATGCCACAAAAATCTCAGCCCTTATAGAGTCACCCTCTCCAATAGGGCCAGAGTAAATAGCTGAAATAATCCTTTCCTCATTCTTGAAAACTCCCCCAATTCCTAAATCCTAACAAACATGGGCTCCCAAGGCTGCTGCCATCAAAATTCAGTTTTAGGAAGTCCAAGGGGGGAGGTATCCAAGAGGGACTTATGTCCCTTTTAATCTGGGCAGAACTTGCTATCTCTTTCCTGCTCCTCAACAGGTCACCCATGATGAAGTCTGTGAATAAATCCAGAGATTTCAGCCAATGTGCCACCCTAATATGAATCAACTCTATTAGGTTCTCACTGTTTCTATCCTTTTCTGGAAAAATTCTTAAGTTTCTTTCTTCCCATAATGTTCAACACACCGCAGCCCTCAGACACCTCCACATGATCCTACTTTTCATTGGCCAGCTACAAAAAGGAAGGGGAAAACGGGCTTTGTATATTCATAGGAGGGTTCCGGTTACACCCAAAAAGGGAGAAAACCCACTCCTATAAAGTTTTAGCATAGTGGCAAGATACCAACAGGTGGTAACCCAATTCCCCATCCACCTTGCAAAAAATGCACCTATGCGGGGATAAACAAGTCTTGGGTCTCTTTCTTTGAACCAGATCACTTTGTTGATTCTTTCTAGGAAAGTTTCCCAACAAAAACTCCCAACTTGAGGAGGAATGGGCCTACACCAGACCTCTTTAACAGGGAAGGACAAACCAGGAAAAGCAGGTTGCTGAGTAAAAGTTTTGAACAGAGATGCACAAGAGAAAGAGCCCAAGGCTGAGGGGGTCCAAAATCTGCTGTCTTCCTTTGAAGTGTCCAAGAAAACATTTTCAAGAATGGCCAAGAGGGTTGATAGGTTACCCAAATTGGTATCCCTAACAGACCTTCTTAGTCCCAAATTCCACCCAAAACCAAAGGCAGAATCTTAGGGAACTAGGAAGGAAGAAATGGTCTCATTTTTAGGTCAGAGAGAGCATACGACGAAAGGAACTGGTTCATCAAAGGGAACCCCCCCCCACACCCAAGTTTGTGACTCACGCTTTCTTGATTCATTCTAAGTCTAGGCTTTTCTGTGGCTCACACTCAAAAGATACTAGCATTTTGTAAAGTTTTAATCATCCATTTTTATCTTCCTCAATCTACAAGTTGAGAATGTATACTCAATTAAATTATTCTACAATCAACAGAGAGGGGGTGTAGTTTGACTTCGAAGCATTAATCTTGATTTCTACAATCCAACTATCACTTTATTCATTTTTTGTTATCTTCAGATTCAGCATGGGTAGACAATTAGACAATCGGTGTAATGAATCAGTATAGAATTGGATGTTTATACACTTTTAACTGTAATGGTAAGAATCCAACCTCATTGCTCTTTTGGTTCTTCCAAAGTTATAAATTTACCATGCCTCTTTCTGGTACTTACTTTTGTTAGAACTTCACTACCAAATCAAAAATAGATCATTGAATCACCACTCAACAAGTTATCAAGACATCCAATCCAGACTGAAAAGACTATACTCTGCATGAAATTCATGCACTTCAAAGTTCAAATTTTATTCTTTATTTGCATCATTATGGGAGTTGTGACAAATTCTTTCTGGGCTTTGATTTTCTTAAAATTCTTCGAACTTTGGTGATTGATCCTGTGATCCATCAAAAAAAAAAAAATTTAGCAACTTATTATCCTTATCCAATTCTTTATGCCCTCTATATGCGTGTGGTACCAACATCCTTTCCTTCTTTTGGCTAGTGAATGGGCCTCACAACATATCCCTGCCCAAAACCCAACATCCTTTCCTTCTTTTGGATCCCAGATCTCTGCTACAACAGCCAGAGAATTTACCAGCAAGCTAGTTAGCACCTTCCAACATCATATTTTGCATGACTTCTAGTTTGTGACTTGTCTATGATGGACCCTAAAATCTCTTGCATAATTTTTATTTTAGACATGCCACTAAGTTCCTTGTATAGATCTTTTATTGCTTCACTTCTATTCCTTCCACTTCCCCACTTCTTTACATGTATTCTCATAAATATATAATGTTTTCATTATCAAAATAAGGCATTGGTCTCTCAGACCCATAGGAAAGGGACCTTTCAATTTTGTACTTCTTCAGAGATGTATTACAGGACTATAAGTGTTCATTGCACTGATAAATTCTGCTTGTAGCAGTAATTTTTGGATCATAAAATTCTGTTCCATTCTCAAATCTTCTCATTTTCTTTTATTAGTTGTCTTCTCTTTTCTGTCATACCTATTCTTTTGATTCGGACACAATATAGTATATAAAGATATCTGCAAATATATTAGACTATGCAATTCATTTTTATATTTCAAAGCAATTCATATGCCTTGTTCTTCTCTGCACATGTAATTATCAAATGCAGTAAGTTCCCAGTGTAGGTAGGTAATTTATCATAGCATTTTAATAATTATGTAAGCATAGAGACAAAATATTTTTTATGTTGATTCTTATCTCTCTTACTATTGGTATCATTCTTCAATCCTTGCAAATAGCTAAATAAGAGCCACTAAAACAAATTTAAATCAAAGTAATGCCAGATTTGAGTTTTCCCCCTCTGTTAGGTGATTGTGATGCAATAGGACCCACAAACTATATTCTAGAGGTGAAGACTTGAGTATCAGTCTATCAGAGAAGTTACATTAGACGTACTTAAAAGGAAAAAGAATAAAAGGAAACACAACATTTTGGATCATTAATTGCCCTTTCCCTTTAGTGGTAATGTTTCTTTTATAATAAAAGCTGTAACTTATTAAGAGACTGGCAGGCAGTTGCTAGCTCTCATAGCTCAAGATCACCAAGGATAGTTCAGTGGTTCCCACCAACAGATGGAAGGCTTAAATTAAACTTCGATGACTGCTGTTTGGGAAATCCAGGAGAGTCAGGAGTTGGGAGCGTAGTGAGAGATGAAACTGGTAATATCCCTTCTTAGTTTCTCAGGTCCAATTGAACATGGGATCTCTCTTAGGCTGTTGGCAGTCATACAAGGGTTGGAACTTTTAAGGTTAAAGGGGTGGAAAGAAGTGGACATTGAGGGAGATTGCCACGGTTATTTATTGGCTGAAGAACAGAGAAGAAACTCCTTGGAGGATGAGGCCTTTGGAAAGACAGGCACTAACCCTAGGGGATCCCTTGAACACCTTATTAATTGGGGTTGCCCAGGGCGAGGTTGTAATTTGTAACTTGTTAGTCTATAGTCTTTCTTTTTCTTCTTTATTTTTGCTTAGCTTCATCTTTGTACTTGGCCTCTTGTTTCTTTAGGGCTGGTCTGATTTATTCTGGGTTTTTTCAGATCCTTAATGAATGGTTTTTACTTGTTACTTGTCAATAAATAAATAAAAGCTGTAATTTTCTGGATAATTATCTATTTCAGATTTGGTAGAATCTGCATCTAAAAGCTATTTGCAACATCTAGGAAATCCACTTTTATGCTATGTAAATATCTCATTGTTTTGGACCTACAAACATTGTCAAAGGTCATTTATAATGCTGACAACTGAAAGTAGGGCTTTACTGTTTGGTGTTATTACTAAGTGCACATAAAAAATATATTTATGCATTGAACTTATTATTTTTGTTATTTAGACCTATGGCTCTTATAAGAACTTTTTTTTTTGAAACCTTTCTTGCAAGAGGATCTACTAAATTGCTTATCTTGGAATCCACCTTAGTTCAAGCCTGTTGCAAGAGCTTTGGCTTTTCCAAGTAAGAACCTAGGGTCCATGGAACTTCTATGCTGAAGTGAAGGATAACCAATTGATAAATACTTGACAGTCAGGCAATCCCCTTCAACTATCATGTTGGACCATCCTGATGAAGAAGCTTGTTCTTTTTAATTTTTTTTCCTTGAAGGAATACCATCACCGAAAATTCTGGCTTTAAAGGTATCGCTTCACCACCTGGGCTGGAGTATCTAAGATTCTAAGTATTTCCCTTGTGATTTCTAAAATACCCTCAATTCTAGAGGTTGCAGGATCTCCCTCAGACAGCAACCATCAAAGTGTAACTTCCTCTGAGTCACCACTCCAACGCAGGTTGTTGTCTTCTAGTGAAATGGAGTCCATTGAATCCCCTTTAAAGTCCTCTGTCATTGCCCAATGTGTGGCTCTCACCATGATAAGGCCATTAATAAATTGAATTTTGACGGCAGCAGCGAAGGAAACCCCGGCCCTTCATGTATAGGAGGAGTGTTCAGGGATGAAGAAGGTCGAATTATGGCCATGTTTTCAGGGCCTATAGGTTGGGGGGATTCTCTGAGAGCTGAAATTTCAGCAGTATTAGAAGGAATAAAAAGAGCCAAACAGCTGAACATTATGAAGCTGCTGGTGGAGGGTGATTCTAAACTGGCTGCAGAAGGAAGAGGCTAGTTTATGGAAGTTCTCGAATGAAAAAAAGAAAATTTACCAGCTCACTCAAGACATGCAAATTCAGTTTCAGTGGTCCAAGAGGAGTGCCAATTCTTTTGCAGATTATCTAGCTAAACAAGGGGTGGGAAGAACTAGTTTCTTTTGGGCTGTATTGTAATGTGATGTTTTATTTTTAGGGTGGGGTAAGAGATTTTACCCCCCCTTCTTGTTGTATCTTTTCCATCTCCTTTTATTAATAAAAGTTTCTGTTATTGATCAAAAAATAATAATTTATAGGCCATTAATAATTTGGTACAATGCCACATGTTTTTTGTTCTTTTTCTGAGCAGTAAGTGAGATGAAAACCGGACTAGAATGCAAGATCTTTGAGGAGTGGCACCAAATCTCCCATCTCCTTTTGGAGCATCTCTCTAGTGTTGCCACTTTTTTGTGCAACTGCCCAGTAAAGCCACTCTTAAGGGGCTTTATTTGTTAGCAACCTCATTTTGAGCAAGGAAAATGCCTTTTAAAGAATCCAAAAGTTTGATCAACTACTTGGTTGATTAAACTGAGTGGCTTGTATTTTTGTTTGTTTGTTTCTAAAGAATCTAAACATGGACTGAACTTTCTGTTTGTTTGTATTTAACTATTTTTATTTCTAGTTTGAATTATTTGATCCCTGTTTCTTTTTCTGTATATTCCTAGAAGGTTTCTTGACTGAAAGGTACAAGAGTTATGAACTCGCATGATTTTTGTATTTGCTTTGAATTTAATGAGATCCTGGTGGCTAGTGCAGTCCAAGAAATCAAAACGAAGGCTTAGACAACCAGCAACTGTCCATCCAGCTTATGCTAAAGTGATGAAGAAACTTAATTTCTGTGGTTAAGATATTGGGGGTCCTTTTAGTGATTCAGGTTCCTGGTACGAGGAGGGGAAATGTTCTTTCCTGTTTGACTTTATTCATGCCTTGCCTCCCCCACATTTTTAATTTCCTTGGTTAAGCTTCTGCAAGAAGATTTTGACTATGCTTTTGATTACTTACAGTAGGGTCTTTTTGCCCCATGTAACAAACTTTGACTTATTTATTCAGAACTTCATCACTTATATACTAGATTCCAGTGATTTGAAGTGGACAGAAGTTTGAAACAACAAACACATGCTTGGGAAATTCGTTATACTCACCAAGTAGCACTCTTGAATCTCAAGAGCAATGCGACCACATTGTTCAATCCATGATATATTGAAATACCCTTGTTATCTTCTTGATGGCGGATTTATTGTCGAAGTCACCATCTCCCAAGAGGAAGGGACAGGCAAGAAAGGGCATGTGTTGAACTGTTGCAGAAGAAGTGATACGAGGACGCATTGTCAATATTTATAACAAGGGTAAATTACAAGGCCCCCCCTTGTACTATCCGATTGCATTCCGTCCATTATCTTCAAAAAAAGATTCACATTCAGCTATTTTTTTTTATTTCCAAATTACCCTTTTCTTATTTATTTGAGTGGTGAGAAGACATCTCTGACCAAATCACCATGGATACCACCGGTATCCATAGCAACAATTGATTCCTGTAAGTGATGGACGCTGGTGGACTTCTCTCTCTATAAATGCAAGTTTCATCTGGATCGCCACACTTTAATACTTGAAGTAAAACCAATTGTTCAATTCTTGATGGCTCTATCTTTTTCTTTTTCGTTTTTATTTTGTTATCTCTAATACTACAATATACGTTTGGAATTCGACTTGTTTGCTTGACTTTGTAGAAGAAGCACGACTGATCGTAAAATATTCACTGAATTTTAATCAATGGTTGAGTTCATGGAAGTTTATCAAAAAATTCAACGCTTCAAGTTTCATAGATTGTAGTCTTTGAGTAACACTTCTTTCAAGGTAACTTTCACCAGGGAAGGGAATACGAAGATTAGATTAGGTTAGGATTTAAGAGAAAAGGGCAATGAAAAGAAAATAACGAAAATTTAAGTAGATATTTTAGTAATTTAGCACATACTTAATGGCTGGGGGTCTTTGTCGCAAATTAAAAAGGGCCTTTGTCACTGACCCCAAATTAAAAGGGGTCTTTGTCAGTTGGATTGGGATTGTCGTTCATTAGAGCTGGATATTCCAAAATCAAATCTCTGACAACTAGCTTTGCTTCTTCCATATCCTAACATTAGCTAGCAGGTTTTCAATGTTACACCATGAAGAGTTTCATCCCCAACAGTCAGCTAACACAACAATAAGATGTTTTCGTCTAGCACGGGATCAATCCAAATCCCTTCGGTTGTGTTTGGTTGCAAACTTGCAATGCAAAACCATGGCAGTACAAATGATCTTGGTGCAAATTATGATTCATTTTTGTTTCCAAATTTATCACATTTTGTTTGTTCACACTCAAGTAAAACCTGTAGCAGAACAAAATAAAGTCCAAAACAAAATTAAACCAGAATTTGTATTCTTTTCATTTGCACTCCCATGCATTTGTACTAGTAAAAATAAAATTGCACTGCAACCAAACACAGCTTTCCCACTAAAGCAGCGGGATTCCTTACAATCAAAAACTTTGTACACACTTTGCAAGCATGAGAGCCGCACATACAAACATAACATCTTCCCACAAATTTAACAGGAGATACTCAATGTGAGGCTCGATGCTATACGCCAAGATCTTTTTCTTGCTGGAGATATGGGCTTCCACCAAAAACTTAAAATTCCACAGCCTTCATGCATGGATATATGGATGTATGCATCATATCATTCGAGCCTTCTGTTGACATTTACTGTTAAATGCAATAGAACGCTACATATAACGATGATGAAAAAAATAAATAAATAACCATATGCAATACGATCGATACATATTGGATACTTGTAATGTTGACTAAAAAATTCAAAAAAATCTTTTCACATGATATGCACCGATTTGTAAGACTGTTGTGTTGGCTTTATTGTCTAATGCTTTGACAAATAATTCAAATTCATAAATCTTTAACAAACGGAGACCCAAAGACAGCCTATGGCCAATTCATTTTGGGAGAAATCTCCCTTGACCTAAGGACGCCCATGATCATATTAAACTTCGAAAATCACATTCCTCGCTATTCTTTAAATCCTTGTGTCAATACTTTGAAGTTTGAACCATGAATCAAGCATGATGTATCCACACTGGTTATTCCACCATTTCGCGACAGTTCCTATACGTGCTTCAAAAGGTCGAAGCCTCGACCTTGATATATATTATTAAAAACATATAACGTTTAGATCTTGGTTATAAACATCAGAGCTTCATGAGATGACTACGTTTCCTTACCTATCCAGAGTTATAAACCATCCAGAGCGCTTCCAACAAGGTAATAGATCCAAGGCTCAAAGTATCGATACAGCCTGTATCAGTACTTTTTTTATATTCTATTTTTTTTTCCAAACCAATTCAGAAGGGTCAATTTAAACCCCAACTACCCTCTGAACCATAGCCTGAATCATACAACCCTGCAAGAGTATCAGGAAGCTACCGGCACAATACGTATCAATGTGTATCGATCAGAACAGAACGATAGGGAACACATTGACACAAACTCATAAGAACCTACAATATCATTATGTTTAATTTAAAAAAACCAAGGCTCAGTTTGGGAAGAGTACAAATACAGAGTTTAATAATACAATATGCAAGGTTTTTGGAGTGTACATATTTGTATTTGTAACGTTCCCAAACCAATGAATGTATTCCATGAGCACGTTACCGTATGAAAACGAAGCCCAGACCAAACCAATGAACCTTGTTTTAAACTTTTAATATTAAGCGCTACGGCTGACAAATACAAAAATAAGATGGGAGGAAAAAAAATGAAGCTTCTTCAATCACTGAAAAATACAATAATGGCTAAAGCAGAAATAAAACCATTTCTGCAAACCCAGCCAAGTTAGTATACAGTAAAACTATGTTGAATCGCCAATCGATTTAAAGAGACATTCCAAATAGTCAGATCTCACCACTAGCTTCGCGATGCCTCGAACTCCAGTAAAAAGAAACACAAACATCGGGCCAAATTCAAGACGGCCAGAAAATTCCTCACTATATCTCTACATTAGCATAACCAACTCCCAGAGAAGAGCCATCTCCTACTTCAACTAACAACACAATCGTCCTGCAAGTATCACCAGCAGCCCACAGACAGCCCTTGCACCAGGTGTGGCGCTTTCACGATCCACCTATCTAACAAGAAAAATTGGCGGAAAACAAAAATAAAATAAAATTAAAGAACGCCAGTCTGGTCACCTAGCAAACCTGGTAATCAATACAAGGCGCCCTTTGAGATTTTAGAGTGAAGAAGGCACATGGGATTAGCACAATCAGAGATCACCCAGTTAGCTTAGCTATGAGTCAACCATCTCGTCTTGCAGTTCGTTCGGCGCAATTAGTCCTGGAATAGTAAGCATCCTCTGGCGCTCTCTCTCCCTTTGAGCCGCTGCTTCTTCAGCATAGAGATCTTTATTATCCTGCAGAAGACTTGGTATTAAATACCATTTCTGACACAGAAAATTACTGGTATTGAAACTAACATTATTCCAATTAGGTTGAAATTAAAGTAAATTAAATGCCAAATTTCGTGAATGTCAACCAGTTTTCACATCCTGAACAGAATTGAGTTGAATTGGAGTGCAGGGATTTGAATTTCATGTAACCATTTCAAGGCCCCAGTTGTATCATTCAAGAGCAAAATAATTTGACAGCATGTAGAAGAGAATGGTTTTCGGCCAAGGAAGTGGAAATGAATTGGAGAAATTAATATGATTTAGGAAGGATCCCACCACTTTATTAATTTCAGCATCACAGTCTCATACTAAAGGCAACCATGCAGTGCAAATATTAATTTTCTAGTTTACTAGGTTACCTGGGCTGAGAACTCCTTTGACTGAACAAGAAAGTCACGGATATGATTCTTAAATGTAGGGAGGTCATTCCTCGACTCAAATAACCCATCTACAAAATGTGTGACCTGTACATTCCCTCGGTTAGATATCAATCCAGACATAACAAGGCAATTAATCATTCCAACCCAACCCTACCTCTGCTGTTGTCATGTTGGGGAATGATGTACCCAAAAGTTTTATGGTGAATTCACGAACAAACATTGTGTTGTTGGGATACGGATAAGGAACAGTAGAAGCATCCCACAATGGTTCTGTCAATAAACCAGAGTCCACCTGAACATGGAACATCTAAATTGTAATCACGTCTATGAATGAAACAAAGTCAACAGAGATTTATTAAGATTTCCTACCAGGCAAAACAAGTGCTGAAGCACCAATACATGAAGCTTGAAACCAGGTTTATGGAATGTGTCGGTCAAGACCGCAAAAATCTCTTGCTCAATTGTCAAAAAGTACGTCCGATGGAATTGATTGCAAAATTCGGAAGCCTGAAAAATAACCAAATGAGGATTAAGTGCATGACATGCATTAACAGATTCAAAAGAATAAGATTGAGCCACACCTGAAAATTTTTCAGCATCGCCAATAAAAGGTTGAGACCAGTTTCAGCAATATTCCTTTCAGTGTGCCGGAAAGCCCAAATAATAGAATCCATGACGAGCTTGAGTTGCTGCAGCAAACCAACAGGACAATTGAGAACAAACAGATTAACAAAATAGATAAAGAACAAATGACAGGATTATCTAATAATGGTACATGCACAGCAATGTATCAATTTATATAAAGAAAAAAAGAATATGCAGAAAAGAGGCAAACTTCGTAATTTAATGATTGCAAAAATGAGATACCATCTAGATATACAAGGTATGGAGGGTACAAAATGCACAAACCTGACTTGACAAATGAATTAATGCAGGGAAACAATATGTTGCAATTGCACGAAGCAATGAAAAGAACTTTAGCCGATGCTCTGGATAATCTTCAAAGTTCTTTGTAATCATCTGTACAAGAAGACCAAAAAATTAGACAATGATACCATGAGCCCTGAGTACCTGAATTCCTGAAACCAAAAGCTGAATCATCACCTCAAGTGTGCACTCAAAAATTGCCTCAAATATGCGAGGAACATCCTCCGTCATAACTGCCTTGTACCTATATATAGATAATCGGGAAAATAAGAAATAAAGTTCAACAATTGCAACCTTACAAAAAACCAATACTATAAAACAACACAAATATTGCATGAAGAGTTCGTTCTACAAAGTGGTTTGCCACATCTATAAAAGGGCAAAAAAACAAGATCAAAAACTCGCAGACCAAAGATGCCATGGCTTGGAAAATTATGCAAAAGCATAAACCATTCACCATAATGCAGACAGTATAATTCATGGTAGCCTCAAGCAACCATAGTTGCCATGCTTTTAGATAACAGAAATTTTATTGAATAATAAAGAAGAATGATAGAATGTCTTATCTCCAATCAGCTCTGGGAGAAAAGGGGCAGAGATGTTACAACCACCAAAGGCTGAGAGAGACCAAGAAATAACAATTGCACATTGAGGCCCCCCTGTCGCCTAGGTGGTGGATTTTTTTAAGTAAAAACATGTATCTTATGGTAGTTCCCTAAGTTCCATAATCATATTTCCTCAATAAATATCCATAATGTTCATAAGAATAGTATAAGCTTCATTTTAAAGTATAGAAAATCAACATGTTCCAACATATTCATGAGAAGAAAAAAGAAGAAAAGAAAAGAAAATTAAAAAATACATAGGAGCTGAACCCCTATTTCCATGCTTATTGGTTCAGGTTTTGAAGCCTTTGAGGATTCAATATAGCATTTAGCAATGCTTGTGTTGATTAAACCCAAACAAATAAAAAAATAATAAAAAGAAATTAGTATACAATCACACAATGAAAACTGCTTGGTGATAAGGCGAGGCAAGCCTCCAAGGGCGCCTTGTCACCTAGGCGTCGCCTTGACAACTATGATAGTGTGTTAAAAAAAAACTTTTATGTTCTTAATTTTTTGGGGTTATAATTATAAAATAGTCATTTTAAACTAAAATGTTCATTTTGTGTGTTTATATACTAATTTCTTTTTATTATTTTCTTATTTGTTAGGATTTAATCAACACAAACATTGCTAAATGCTGTATTGAACCTTCAAAAACTGAACCAATAAGTAAGGAAGAACATAAAATGTTGTCCAATAAACACATTTTCTTCTTTTTCTTTACTAATTTTGTGTGTTTATATACTAATTTCTTCTTCTTCTTCCACCTTTTCTTTTCTTCTTTTCCTATAACAGAAATAGGGGTTCAGCCCCTATATTTTTTGAATTTTCTTTTCTTTCTTTTTCTTCTCAYGAATATGTTAGAATATGTTGATTTTCTATACTTCAACATGAAGTTTATACTTTTCTTATGAAAACTATGGATATTTATTAAGGAAGTATGATTATGGAACCTAAGGAACTACCTTAGAATACATGTTTTAACTTAAAAAAATCCATCCCCTAGGCGATTAGGCACCCCCCTGTTGCCTAGCCTCGCCTTGGCACCTTGAAATCTATGGAATCAGTGGTTTCAACCCACCATTGACCCGGGTGGTCAAACTGATCAAACCATCATCTGGTCCCATTTCCAGGTCAGGATTTCCTAAAATCAGGAAATTGATAAAAAATCATCGACTTCATGAAAAACATCCAACCCAAGCAGTTGAACTGTTGACCCAGTCATCGGGTCGCAGGTTATGCACAACATGTATATCAAAACTTCTGGAGGCCTTTGGACTCAGTTGTCCAATTGAGGTGATCATTTTATTGGATAATTTTTCAAGATCTATTTATTGCAAGTGCCAAGGCACCTTGCCCCATTATTTTTGGCAAAAAAAAAAACTTTTTTGGCCTCAAGTCCCCATATTTAGCTTTTTATTTATAAGAAATAGAACTGAAATAAAAATATAAAATTAGACCTAAAATAATATGTATATACATATGTTACATGTAGAATGTTATTATAAATTATTTAATTGATAAAAGACATGTTTATACACACACAAAATGTGCTGGTGTGTCATGATCTGACCCATCCAACCTTGATAGTCAAACCACTGACCAGAGACCTGAAGACAAAATGGTTCAGCCACAGTTATACACATACAAGGGCCATTTTGTGCCTGAGGCGTGCACCTTTTTGAGGCAAGGCACAAAATTAAAATAAAAAAAATGCAAAAAATTATAAAACATAATATCAATAAAAATATAAACTTAAGTTTTGAAATAAATGTTTTAAAAAACCTATTATCTAAATTTAAAATACATAAATATAATATGTAAAGCATATTCAAATGAGAATTTAAAAATGAAATCAAACATATTCAAGCATATAAAACCCACAATCTCTTTTTTTTTCTCAATTGCATCAAGTAGCTAATGCGACATATTACATTCCTAATTCTATGAGCCGCCTTTGTGCCACGCCCCTCGAGGCAAGCCCAAACAAGGCCATGTTAGGGTCTTAAATTCTTGGTTTTCACACAAAAAATAATAATTTTATAGTTTTAATTGCTTTTAAGAAGATATTTTATTAGGATGAATGAATGGACAACATTACCAAATAGGGGATTCTCAAAGCTCTGGTGTCCTTGTTGGGCTGGCCTCGAGGGGCATGGCACGGGGGGGTCCGGGGACGGAGCCCCCGGCCCAGCGGCCAGTCTCAAAAAATTGGAAAAAGCGGAAAATTTTCAAAAGGCGCACGCCTGGGCTAAGGCGCACCAGGCGTGGGCCTTTTGAATGGGCTGCGCCAAGGCCCTGGGCGAGGCGCCTAACCTAAAATGTGCCTCACCTGTGTGCCTTTTACTTTTAAATCACTGGTAAAGAGTAAACAACAAGTTCCTTTGACTAGGAAGAAACCTAGGCAACAAGCATCTCCAGAATCGTCTATATGCTTTAGGCAACTAGAGATTCAACTTTTTTTCTTTTTTCCTTCACACTCGCTACTTCAAAATCCAGTTTTCTTAAAATGTTATCTGTGTTTTCTATTCTTTCTTGGTTCTTCTTTTATTCTTTTTCTGTTTTTCATTGAGGATCAGGAATGTATCATAAAAATACATGGAACATTAAAGAGCTAAACGTTTAAATTTAAAAACCCAAGATGATTAAATTGAACCTGATAATAAAATCAGATTATTCATGTTACCACAAAAACAAATGACATGTGTATTTAATAATTGTGACACCCCAATATATGAAGGGTCAATTACTTACATATACCCCGTATATTTAGGAAACTACTTAAATGTACCCTGAACTTTCAAAATCTACTTATACATACCTTGTTGACTTTTCAGAGGTTAAGTTTGACAGATAAAATGAAAAAGACAAAAATATCCTTAACCATTCATTAAATTTTCAAAGTATGTCATTTCTTTATTTCTTTTTCTCTTCCATTGTAAAAGATTAATTCCTCCCCTCTTCGTAAAAACAAAATACCCCTCAGACTCAGATCGATTCCAGCATTTCTCTTTCTACTTCAGACTTCAGAGGTAGTTTCCATGTTCAACTTCTTCGCTTTTTCTAACCAGAGCATGCTGCCATGTATTCCTCCCTGTGCTTTATGATCTTGGTCTCTGCTCTTCATGACTTGACATTGTCCAAACAGGTTAAAGGATGGCACAGAAGATCAGAGAGTATGATTCAAAGCGGTTGTTGAAAGAGCATTTTAAGAGGCTCTGTGGCACATAATTGGGCATTAAAACGGCGCAGGCATGTCCAACTCCAATATATGAGTGCTGAAATCAAACCTTTCCTTTTTTTTCCTTGTTGGTACAAGGTTAATGCTAAGAGCTCTGCATTTCTATTACCTTGCTTGTTTGTAGAAATCCTTAGCAGAGTTAACGTTGTTGCTTTACTGAGTCAGGAACATGACACACCTTTCAGTCAAGAACTGCTGCCATTTCTAAACCAAGAGGGAGCTGACGTCTCTCTGGTTCTTCCATCAAAAGATTGAAGAGCAGAGGACTGATGAGGGGTAAAATGGTATTATAAAAAAATTAATGGATATATCAGATGTCCCTAAACGTTATTTTTAACAGATGGCCTATTTATGTTATGCGGGGCCATCTTATAAGGTACACATAAGTTGTTTTTGAAAGTTCAGGGTTTATACAAGTAGTTTCTTAAATGTACAGGGTATATAAGTAATTAACCCATATATGAAACATTGATGTGGAGGGGACTAGCAACTGTAGCATGATAAGGTTAAAAAGTAGGCAGCATAACTTACTTGTTTATGATAGTAGCGAAAAGTGACAAAACCTCAGACTCCCTAGCATCAGGCAAGTTCCTAGCATAGTCCCCAAGAACGGGATCCATCATTGGTGGCACAAACTGCTTTCCAATTTGTGGTTGATCTTCAGCTTTGTCCAAAAATGTCTCAATAAGTTTCAGAGTCTCCCTCTTAACTGATCTGTTTCAAAGAGCACTAGCTTAAATAATACCAACTTTACAATAACATATACAAAGGTTGATATATTATTAGCATATAAAAAGGTTGATATTGCACCTATTTATATTGATTTTGCCTTATGTTATTTCCTAATGATAATATCTTTGCCCTCTCGTGTGATCAAAAAATATCTTTGCCCTCCCTTGTATCATTCATTTTCTATTAATGAAAGATTACCTTAATAATTATTCAAAAAATCAAAAAAAAAAAGAAGCAATCTGATTCTTATCCTACACTCCCTAGCTTCATGATCTTTATATTCCTTGGATTTGGATCCTAAGATCAATAACATGGTAAATAACAAACTAGGCTTTACATATTTAGTAATAGATATTAGGTATTGCATATAAGCTTTGGACTTGATCCTGAATCCCAGTTCAATCTTACCTCAGAAGCTTTACGTAAGACGTCTTAGAGGCATAGGGCCCACCTTCCGCAATGCTATTTGATATAAGCTCGCTGTACATTCTGTTGGGAGCATAAATAAAAATGAAGATAAAAAGTTAAATATCTAGAAGTCAATGTAATATTATTGGAGCATGTTACATTTGGAACTATAATCATGAATACCTGTAAACGTTAAGCATGTCCAGAAAGATCAATGTGATTTGTGATAAGAAGTAAGTCCCAAGTGAACTTGCAACACTGGTATTTGTCTGTGAATTAGAAATCCAACAATTAAAAAGATAGAACCCACTGCTACATTTTTTACGAGTATTCTTGCTACATCCATCCAACAGCATATTGCAGAATGAGACATGTATAAAGATTCAAATTAAAAAAGAAAATAGAAAGTAGGAAAAATACAACCCAAAAAAACAAAACTTATAATATACAGCATCGTACTCAAAGAGGTCAACCCAAATGGAGCTTGCACCCCCAATATCCCTTCTGATAGGCCTTACATTTGAGTTTGGTTTTGTTAAAAGAACTATGGGACTTTAAGAGGTTTCTATTAGATGAATTTCTCAAAGATGTGTTTATATTACCTGACACATGGTAATAAAAGAAGCTACTAACTCATCTTATCAAGCACCTCAGAAGACATGTTCTAAGATCAATGCCTTCAGTTGGGAAGTGTCCATGAGGTGAAGGTGGATACCCAACCAATGTTTTAAAACGCGGAGGCGTGACGCAAGGCGTTCCACTACCTAGAGGCGTGAGGGTGTAAGCCATCTTAAGAGGGAGGGGGTTAGGAGGAGGATGAAGAGGAAGGGGGGACCTCATTTTTTTTCTTTATTTTTTAATAAAAATCTTTTATATTAAGAAGAATAAAGATGTATAACAGTAGTTCAAAGAGAGGGGGGTGTCTTGTCGAAGCGAAGCCAAGAAGACCCCCCTAACTCAAAAAAACAAAATGAGCTGCATTGAAGGGGGGGTCTGGGGGGCGAAGTCTCCCAACCGAAGGGGCAGGGGGCAAACCATTTTCTTTCCCCTTATCTTTTCTTCCCTACCCTTCCCTTTCCTTTTCTTTCCTTTTCTCTTTTTTTTCTTCCTGTATTCTCATATCAGGTGTGTAGCATGCCTCATGAAGAAAACACAAGAGGTGTACGGCTCAGAGGTATCAACGCCTCTGGCATATGCCTCAAGGGGTTTTGGGAGCGCCTCGCCTGGAGGTGCGCCTCCCACGCCTTTTACAACACTGTACCCAACATATTTCACAAGGAAAAACAGAGGACCAGGTGCAACCCAGTCCTGTGTGCTCCATGTTCACAACATATGAGGAACTGAAATAATCACCCATTCATTAATTGGAAGTTCTCTCATAATATATGATGGAGCCAGTGTTTTAAAAGTGTAAGGCGCAAAAAAGRCACAGGGGTCAATTTGCGCCTGAGGAGCAAGGCGTAAGGCGAGGCACACGCCGTTTTAAGCAAGGCATAAAAATTAAAAGAAAAATGCTAAAAATCAGAAAAATAAAAAATAAATATTAAACATAATATTATTAAAAATATGAACTTAGATTTTAAAATAAATGTTTTAAAAATCATATTATCTAAAATTAAAATACATATATATAACATGCAAAGCATATTCAAATGAGATTTTAAAAATAAAATCAAACATATAAAACATTTTTAAGCATATAAAACCCACAATCTCTTTTTCTCTCAATTGCATTACTTCGAGTAGTTAATGTAATGTAAAACATATTACATTCCTGATTCTACAAACTGCCTTTGTGCCATGCCTCTCGAGGCAAGCCCAAACAATTCCTTGTTAGGGTCTTAAATTCTTTGTGCTCACACAAAAATAACGATTTTATAGTTTTAGTTGCTTTTTAAGAAGATCTTTTATTAGGATGAATGAATGAACAACATTACCAAATAGGGGGTTCTCAAAGCTTCAGTGAGCAAGCAAAACCCGGCCCAGCCGCTAGACACAAAAAAAGTAAAAAAGCATCAAATTTTCAAAAGGCACAAGTCTGGTGTGCGCCTTTTGAAAAAGGTGCGCCTAGGACCTGGGCGAGGTGCCTACCCTAAAATGCACCTCGCCTAGGCGCCTAGGCGCCTAGGCGCACCTTTTAAATCACTGGATGGAGGATGGATAAACCATCCTATGAACACTTGGTGGCTACTGAAAATAATGCAATGCTGTAAAAAGAAAAGTAAGCATGAAAGAAGTGGGGCAATGATAAGGCTTAAAGGTTTAAGGAATTATTAGGGTTGAAAGGAAAGGTTAGGATTTCAATGAAATGATTCTAGAGAAAGAATACTGCAAACTCAAAATGCTCAACCAAAAATTATGATGAATTAAACAAAATGGGATGAAAGAAGTGAATGAATTGGTAAGCTGTAAAATAGGGTCATAGAATAGATAAAGGTTCTGACGGCTAGAAGAAGCTTATTGTTAAGACAAATTAAAATAAAGCTCCTTCCAGTGGATAGAATTACAGCTCTGGTCTATATTTATGTTAAATCAGTAGGACAGGAAAAAAAACTAGGGAACAAAATATAGCATCTAGGAAAAGAAGGACAAAGCAATCTTCAAAAGCATAAAATCTAGTTTCTTTGTTGCATGTATAACTCACTCAGAGCTCACAACAACCAGACCCCTCAAAAATATAAAATGACAAAATTACCACTATGACAAATTAAAAATAGGAAAAACCACAGAGCATACTCCCATATTTCAGGGCCAGTTTAACGCAGGCATCAATATGGCACCATTTCCATGTGGAGATGTACTCATTTGTCGATAGTAACAAATAAGGGATGTTGCAACCAAGGATCAAAATACTGATACACCCAATAACAAAAATTGGGTATTGGTGTGTATCAATAAGACCGAAACTTTTGCTTTTATTTTTTTTATTTTTATTTTATTACCCTGAGAATGATGCCTTCTATCATCCCAAACTTTCAAAACCCCCCAACCCTGTGTATCAGTGTATCCATGATCTCCATGGCCTGGGATACCAATACAATATGTCTCATACAATATGGGGTGTATTGTATAAATATTTTGATCCTTGGCTGCAACCAAGCTTTTTTACAGTGCACCATCATCAAGTTATAAGTGTTGGCCTTTCTTACGAGCCTTAGGTTCCATTGGCTTAGTTTGGTCACCCAACAAGTTGTACTTCTTACATCTATCATCAATAGCACAACTGCATTTTTACTGTAAGGGGAAGTTACAGGCTTGATTAGTGGCTTGTTAGCTTCAAACATTTGTTTAAGAGGTAATAGTTTGGTTTTCCTAGTGGCATTGGCATCATCCGGTTTGATTTTGCTTGTGGGTTTGATAACATTCTCTCAAGAAAGAAATACCTGCAGAATGTTTAGTACAGTCCTGATAACATCTTGATCCTTAAGAAAATCCACACTCTGGCGTGCCTGTCCTATAATTTCTGCCCATTTCTGGAGAACAAGATGTGCATGTAAGATAAAAACTACGGAAATTTTAAGATTGAACTTAATCACAACATCAGAAAATAAGGCAAATCAAAACACACCCTATTTGGAAGTTCCATCAACCTCTGTAAATACTCATCCCTCTTCTGGGGATCCGATTCAGCTTGAATCATATGACCAACCTGTGAACGCAAAAAAAGTCACAACACAGAAATCAAACCAAACTAGTTTAGTTGTAAAAAAAATTGTATACTAACTAGTTCCAGTTACTTGAAGAATAAACATCACAACATACAGATTCATAAAATGTATGGATCTGGTGGGGCTCAAGATCAGCAACAGTTGTGGGAAGGCCTGTTAAAAGTTCAGAAACAAAAGGTTCATTTTCCCCAACCTGCAATCGAAAAAGCAACCACATCAGAGTACAAAAAACACCACTTGCATAGTACTACAGGCAATTTCAAGGCATCACAAATTTTAAAGATGCAAGAACAAGAGTTGAATTCATTAAATCATTTATTGCACATATATATTTTGAAATAGAGCTAACAGCTCGCCTATATTCAACAGGAACCAGGCCCCTTTCCAGTTCCAGTTCAGTGAAAATCAGAGAACTGGGATTCATACCAGTTGAATCAGAGTTTCAACTGGGAATGTGCTCTTCTCCATTCGACCCTAGTATGGGTCTCAAAACACTGTTTTACATATTAAAGAAGTTAGTGCAACTAATGCTCAAACTGAGGCTCCAGCACTGCTTCCTAAAAGCAGCATTCATTTAACCTTGCATAAATTCATACAAGTGCGAGGAATGACCTAATTGACACATGTTTTCTATTCTTGAGAGTGTTCCAACAAAACAAGAGAGAACAAACATGCTTGTGAGATAAGAGAAACCAAGATTTCACAATAACAGAACCCACTGCAGAATGTGAAAGAAAGAAAACAAAACTTACCTGTAGAACAACAAATTTGCGCTTGCATTTCTGAACAATTTTTAGGAATGTATCACAGGCCATATCCTGAAAAGAGAAACACTATATAAATATGACATTATAGAGCATGAAGGCATGATATAAACCAACTGCAGCTATATATAAGTAAACTATGCCCATGCATTCATGATCAAAACCATTGATGCACTTCTACCTTCATTAAAGAGCTATTTGCAGTAAAGAAGCAATATGTTGAACTCATTCAGACTACAAAGAAATGGGATAGACTACCAGCAAAGGAATTAGCACTTCTTTTCCCCCCACTATAATCTTACTTCCATACCTTGTGTCATACACTTAAATCTCCTTTCATTAACATAGAGCTCCACCAGCCATCTTCCTCCTTCTGCAGCCAGCCTACCACCAGCTTTGAAACACCTTCCATAATCAGCTTTCTGATGTTCAGTTCCTTTGCTCTGTGTACACCTTCCACCACAGCCAGAATCTCAGCTCTTAAAGAATCACCTACACCAATTGGGACTGAATAGAGAGTAATTATTTTTCCTTCTTCATTTCAGAAAACGCCTCCCACAAATTGGAGGAGAGAACAGTGGGTTAATGAAAAACTTAAGAGGGCCTGAATCAGCCACTTCCCCCCACTTTCTAATCAAATCATCAGTATAGATATCCTCAAAGATGTTCAAGGACTTCACCCAATGGACCACTCTAATAGTAATGACTTCAAGAATTGCTTCTCTACTTCTCTCCTTTTCTGAAAAGATTCTTAGATTCCTTTCTTTCCAAACCGTCCAACAAACAGCAGCTCTTGTATGCCTCCATATAATTCTTCCCCTTTTCTTAGGCCTACTATCAAAGGAAGAAGCAATCAAGCTTTGTGCATTTAACGGGGGATTCCACCTACACCCAAAAGAGAAGAGAAACTGTTCCCGAATAGAAGAAAACAAGGGCAGAAGATTAATAAGTGATAGCAAGTCTCACCATTAGCCTTACAAAGAAAGGCACCAGTGGGGGATAAGTGCCAATTAAGTCTTTTTTCCCTGCAGTAAGTCATAGGTATCTATTCTTTCCAATAAAACTTCCTCCAATCCTAGGAGGAATAGCTTACTCCAAACCTCCTTAACAAGAAAAAGACTGCCCAATACTATCAAAGGGATGGATGAAAGCCTAAAAAACACACTGTCCAACAATTTTCCTAGTTTCTATTGTCATAAGCCTTCTCCATATCCAACACCTCCCTCTCCCACACCTCACTTGGGAGTCAATCAGCTTATTTGCAATTAGCACCACATCCAACATCTGCCTCCCCTTAATAAACGCCCCATGGCTCCAAGAAATGATATATTCCATGATCTTGATTCTTTACGCTAGCACCTTTGCAATTAATTTGTGAATACTACCGATCAAGGTTTAGAAATTAGATGAACTTAGCTTCTAAGAATGTTATAAATGCAAATTTCTAGATTTTATCCTTTTGTCCATAATTCATAGCTAGTCTAATGATCAAAAAAAATCATAGCTAATCTCATATCTATCCCCCATGATTCTATCATCTATCATTTGGCTAGATGGGATGGCACAAAGCATGCAGCATTCATATGGATGAGAGGAAAAAGGATTCAAGAGAGTAAATGCTCTAATTGAGAGTATGAGTGACTATTCTACTTATCTTATCACAATTTTTCTCATAATCTCATATTGTTTTATTTTTTTCCTTTTCTTTCTTTATTAATAATGTTTGCTTCTTTTTCTGTTTATCTGCTTCCTATGTAGTACATATTGCATTTGCCAATGGCATTAACACCCATTAATTTATGAAGAAGATCACACATGCAACATGCAGTTTGCCATTATCAGTCCTTACTAACCCCTTAAGCATTCTGTTTGCAAATAATAATAATAATAATAATAACAACAACAACAACAACAATAATAATAATGATGATGATGATGATGTTTGCTTCTTTTTCTATTTGTTGATATCTATCATAAAAATTATTTTCTATTTGTTGATCAATAAAAAAACAGAAAATAAAATAGTTTCACCATGGAACTTGAATCAACCATCAAGAAAATAAATCGGTAGCTTGTTATTTGCAGTTGTATCAAATATAGGCAACATGAGAAAGGAATGTGAACAGAAACTGTGACCTGAACTCCTGGGTGTGTTTCATGCATGAATTCAAACAACTTGTTAACAACAGTTTTCAAGAACTTCCAATGGGCTCTTAGAAACTTTGGATATTGTCCAACTACATACCTGCCAAACCAAGCCAACAATTATTACAACAACGAAAAACTAATAAACAAACACTTTCAGAAGAGAAATTCTTACATAATGTTGCTTGCAATGACAGCCTTGTTATCTTTTCCTTTGGTAAATTCACACAAGTTCAACAGATCACGAATGACCATCACTAGGAATCTATTTTCCTGCCAAATTGTAATATAAAGAGAGTTATATAGTGGTAGGCATACAATGGGATATGGGATCAAAACCAATATCTATTTTTTTTATGAATAAAAACCAATATCTATTTCATATGTATTTGTATACATATGCGCATAAATGTATTGTGTATGCAAGATTTTTTCTAAGTATAGAATATGTATAAATATATGCATATGAAAAAACATAAAGTTTCATAACCAGGTTGGTTAAGTGTTCTGCTAAAAATAATTGACAGATATATCTCATTTAAGAAGAGAACAATCACTCTTCACTGGGAACAGTAAATAAAATAATAGTGTTACACCCATCTTTGTCATTTCTTACTGAAAATAAGTAATATAGGACTTCAAAGTTATCGGGTTGCAACCTTACAGATATAAAAGTTGCAGAACAAGATCCTTCAAAAATGAGCAAGTCTTCCTAATGCATGAGCTATATATCAACTGATAGGAATCCAGCAAACACCTATGATCTGTTCACCAGTCATAGGCCATTTGGGTGAACGCATGTGGTTTAGAAGTGGATAAGCCCCTATTTTTTTTAATGAGAACTCGGTCTTGATCCAGAAAATGGCATACCTGCTCCTCCATCATGGACCCAGATATAGATCCTATTGCCCAGCATAATGTGTTTAAGTTATTCCACGTCCACTCCTCGCCATTCAGCTGTTTACTTAACTTCTTCAACATCTGTGGTTACCAACAAGAGTATCAAAAAACTTTTGTACAACAACTGCTTTATTGATGCAAATATTAGCAACTATGAATTTCCATGTGAATCAAAACAAACAAGAATCTAGGAAGTTAATCAATCGTAATGACCACAGTAAATAGTGGCAAAAATAATTTTGTCTCCCTATTGTATACTAACGAGGGGTGATTTGGCCCTCCAGTGACATCGCACCACGTGGCAGCCCATAACCATCTCATGGCACCCCAGCACCATGTAGGCGATGACTTGCCTTAGCCAAAATGATAGAGACCTCCTCGGAACCACATCGGATGCGCCTCGCACACTGAGAGCTCTTCGTCACCACCTCGCCATGGCCGACCTATAGAAACCTCATCGGGATCAAGCCAGCCACCTTAGGACCAAGCTATAGACCTCGGCATGAAGGGCAACCTCCCATCGAGGTCTCACCGACCTGATTGAGGCCCAAGTGGTGACCTGCATGACATGGTGGCCGACCTCCATTACGTGTTGGTTATCGTCTCTAAATCCTTCGGAATCAAGTCGCCTCATTGACGGAGCCGACCTCTATCGCTTCATGCAAAAATCATCTCCAATCATGAAACCACCTCCAAATGAGGCAGACCATTAAGCCGCGTCCTCCCAGAGATCTTAGAAGCACTACGTGAAGTCCGCAACAACCTACGCCTATGTAAAGGTGTCCCAGTGATCAAAGAAGGTACATGCGAGTTAGCACCCCGGGTACTCTAACTGTTCTCTTGCTTAAGGTGTCCTATATAAAGGTGTCCTAGTATCCAGACACTCTTCACTAACTTAAGCATCAAAGTGCCCACCCTGGGTACTCTGACTGTTCTCCTACAACTCAACCAGCCGACGTCCAAGCTATCTTTCCAACAAGGAGCTACCAGATCAAGCACCATCATATACAAAAGAAAAAGATACTCCTCCAATGTATTGAGCTATAGAAATTAAATACATCTAAATGATGAAATAATTAAACCAATCCGCACAAAAGAAATATCTAAAGGCCTAGGCATAATTAAATTGTCGCATGACAGTTTGCCGAACGCCTAAAAGTGTCAACTTTAAATCTAATATCCAAACCATGCACTCTAATAAATTCTAGGGTATAACACGTCTAGAGAATTGAGTCATAAAAATCAGTTATGGTATGATGGTTATCAAAAAGGAATTTTACATGTCACATTAAAATATCACGAAACCATATCTTACCTTAACATTTGAAAGATAAAGGTATGCTGAGAAATACTATTTTTCTAGCCTGGATAATGTCAATACTACATTTTGAGTAAACCCAGAACTTCCACTGTGTATTTTTTTTTTGGTGAAAGGGTAATTCATTGTTAAAGAAAAAACACCCCCACCCTACACAGCATGAAACTGGGAATACAACTCAAAAAAGAGTTGTATGGAATATCTGCAAAATTTCTGTTCACTACAACCCAAGAGTGAATTCTAACCCAAAGTATACTTTCATTGTATACTTGAATTGATAAGTTAGGGTGCATAATACATAACAAACTTAAAGGTCTACTTCCCCATTCTAACTTATTTTCCCAACTAAACCATGTAGATTCCACTCTATAAATATCACACTACACCTAAAGCTCATTGCACAACCCAACAGTATTTTCTATCAGCAGTCCTTAGTGTTGTCTTTAGAAAAAAAAAAAGAAAACCTAAAAATATTATAGTGTGAAAAGAAAGAAAGAAAACCATGTTTTGAAAAGACATCTAATAATGCATACTCAACTTCAATCCTAATTACTTGAGGTCATCTATACAAACCCTGCCCTACCATTGTGCTCTATTAAGAGACATAATTCCTATCAACTTGAAGTCCACAAATCATATTTTACTTCAGATCAGCTTTTCTTTGTACTTCCCTAAAGCCTTCTACTTGAACCAATTCACTTCTTATGGCATGTATTTCTATAAATGCATTGTCTCATTTATCCAATATTCATTTTCCAATTGTCTCCTCCCATCACTATGTCATGCAACAATATTGGCATTCTCTAAAAAACTGGCAAGGGTCAACATGAAAAGTGAAAAAACTATGTGCTTATTTCTAAAATGAATAGATACTTTTCTTTACAAGAGCAATATAAAAATGCTATGAGATGCATACAAACCACAAGAGGATTGTTTTTGTGCAAAGGAGGTACAATTCTTTTGAACAAAAAAAATAACAGATCATGATAAATACATACCTGTTGCTCAGTATCCTCGTGATCAAGATGTGTCAAATATATCAGTGTTTCCCTCATGATCTGCAACACCAGGACATCGCCAACATATGCAAGTACAAGAAATAAATACATATAAAAGGAGATACCAAACAAAAAAGCTATTAAAACTGTAAAGTGTTACTGCAAGTAGCACTTCAACTATTTAAAAAAATGCCCGTAATAGTCTAGAGTGTTTTAACATTTACTTTTAGACACTTCAAAGGGTAAATATCCATCTCAGATAATTTTAGTTTTTTATATTAAATTCCATATCCACTACCTTGTGCATACATACAATATACTTGCATGTCTATGTAACAGAAGAGTTTCTTCTTCAGGTTTAGATGAAGTGAAACTGACTACATTGTCCAAAAACGCACAAACCTTATATTGAACAAGAACATCATTGTCTTTCATAGTTTCACGCACAATATTCCCATTTTCATCCTCAACAATCAAAACCTCTTCAGGCTTGGCCATACGACAAATCATCAGCATTCTCAACTTTGACATCGGTATGGCATAAAGCTGTCTCCGTTGCATAAGTTGTGACCCATCAGGCATACCAGAAGTAAATGGCATCTGCAGATTCAGTAAGAAATCAACAGAGTAATGATTCAGCTACCAGTTCTCCAGCAAAAGCCCATGAGTATGTATACATAACATATTAAATGAACCATAGCAAACTACATATATCATCATATTTTAATATGTATAATGTATACATAATATGCATCACAATTATATACATGCAACATTAATATATAATATACACATAATAATACATTGCAATTAGCACACAAACATCATATCGCAATTATAATACCTGAAGCCCCATCATGTTTGCAGTAGCTGCAGGATTATCTAAATTATGATGTGCCTCAAACAACTCCAAGACCAGAGAGTTCCAATAGTCCAAGCAGACCTGTGGAATCATATCACAAGCAAGTATAGATCAATTACATTGAAATTATGGTTAGTTGTAAACAAAGCCAAGTACATGACAATGATCATACCTTAAAAACCTCTGTATCATCAACATATGAAATGCCAATTAGATATTCAAGACCCATTAGAAGTGCAGATCTATTATCTGGAGTGGCTTCAAGCACTCGAATATGTGCCTTCACAAAAAGAAAGATGTTATTAGCAAGCCTTTTAATCTTCCAAATAACCAGACAAGACCAGAATGAACAAAAAGCAAAAAGGATATCTTTTCAAGTAAAAAAGGTGCCACACAAGGCAACCAATTCTTCAGGACATATGAACAAAAAGGAAATCTCTCGAAACATTGTAACATAAAACCCAATTCAAAGAGTTCCTTAAGCAGTAGAGTAAAACCACCCCATGGGAGTAATTTAAGCCAAAAGACTAAGAAGCTTGCCTTGTAAAATGAAGTGAAAAACAATGCCAGGTTCTGAATAAATGCCTGAAGGAAAAAATCCAAAAAAAAATGAAAGGGCACTGTTAGAGACAGGTGGATAGAAAAGTAATAAGGCCTCACATCACATCTGGCAGAAATTCTACAAATCAAGAGGTTCACCTGCTCCTCACTGGAACCGTGAGCATAAGCATCTGGAATGTTTGTTCCAAGTGGAAGAATTGTCTGGGAACAAAAAAAAACTCCAGAGTTGAAAAATAGTAAAGGGAACCAACAAACCAATATAGAATGAAATAATAACACAAGAAAGTAGTGTGATTTCCAGCATAAGTATAAAGAAGAAATGTTTGCATTTAGTACATCCATGTTTAGATTTTGATTACTCCAGGTAGCAGGTACCAGTTAACTTACCTGTAATTGCACCATAAAAAACTCATACATTTTAACATACTGTGCATCATAGAAGTCTCCAAATTGAAGGGCTGCGACCTGTGAACACCAAGACATGACATAATGCTACAGCATTCTGAAGAAAGATAAATAAAGTAGAAGAAGGGGATTCACAACTGGTTGTAAATTGGCTGCACAGTGCTGAGATGAAGATGTGGGTTTACAATAATGAAAAGAAAAAATTCAGATGGCTAACAAGGGATAAGGTAGTTTCTATCTGGTGCAAGCATAGCGCCAACTCCTTTGCTGATTCTCTAGCAAAACAAGGGGTGGAATGACAAGTTCTGTTATGGGCAACAATTGTAAGGGAAGGGTGTATCTAAGGGGAGAGATAAGTTGTTTTACCTCTCACTATCTTCCCTTTGGTTTTACTCACTGTACTATATTATTTTTCTAATCTAATGAAATTTCACAGTTAATGATCAAAAAAATCTATATAAAAGAAAGATAAATGCATACCTCTATCAAACACTGGAGAGTAAGATTCCTATATGATGCCACCGGAAAGAAATTAAGGAGTTTTTCCAGCTATCAAAAAAAAACAATAAGGAATGTCTTAGACTAGTATATAGAACTCAAAAGAAAAATATTGATTTTTCTAAGAAATTTATTAAAATGAAGAGAAATTGTCAGAAGCATTTCTTAACACAAAAGATATTAAACTAAACGTACGCAAAATGCATGTACATAATGCCATAAGAACAATGCAACTAAATAAATTCGGATTAATGTGCATACCAGTGGAGATTCAAAAATATATCCCAGAGGAATCCATGAAAGAAAAGCATGCAATGTTGCAAGTGTTGCCCGTATGAGCTCAGTCCTTTGTGATGCCGATAGTACATACAAGCATAACTCATGAATAAGTTGAAACTCACTGTAAATAAGACCAACAAATTTTTAGTAAGCTATAGTAAAAATAGGAAGCAAGCAAAGATAAGTATAACACTTGATTGCAGTGATAACGTAGTATATCCATAAATGCACCAACCAAAGTATTTGTACAAATATAAAATCAAAAATCCATGCAAAAGCAACAGTTGCAGATAAATGGAAAGGTGATTTCATGGCAAACCAGATACAGATATAGAAAGCTTTTTGAACTTCTTAAAGCAAACAGTTTTTCAAAGCCTTTTAGAAAACATTTGTATTTAGGTAACCCTAATAGCAGGAAACTGGATTAGTGGAATAGTGGTAAGCCAATTCCCAAGAAGGCTGCTTATTCTGTCTGCTACTATTGGGGAAAAACACTTCAAAATCCTTAACTTTTGGGGAAAAGAAGGTGAAACAATTTCACGGTTTTGCATGGAACAGGTTTGTCGATGTTCCCATTTATTCACCCAATTTGCAGCACATTGAAGTAACACTATACCTAGGAAGCCATTCTGAGATGGGCAGAAGCCACAGAACCATCAGTGCAGGATTTTAATTACTAGCAAAACAATTTTCTAATTATTAAGAAACTAGTAGAAAATTTTATCATTTAATCATTGAAACTTATAGGAGAACAAGCGCTCTCACTCAAATTTATAAGGACATTTTATCTTTAGCAATGTTGTTGGTGTGGCTGCAGAAGGAAGAAAAAGGTTTTGTTTTGGGTTTTTAACAATGAAAAGAAAAGGTTCAAGTGCTTGACACAAAATATGGAGGTGAAGTTTAATTTGGTAAATAGAACGGCGAATGGGTTTGCCGATGTGTTAGCAAAGCAAGGGATGGGAAGGGGTAATATGTTCTGGGCTCAATTGTAATAGGTAAATAAATTATAATATGGAGAGTAAGAAAGTTTATCTCCCCTGCCCGTGTATTTCTTTTCATAATACCCCTAATGAAATCTTGTTATTGATCAAAAAAATGTTGCTGGTGTGGTGGCATGAAAGGTGAGTGAGAAGCATATTATCAAAGAGATTAGTAGCACTATAGTGGTTTTCCTAATCATAAGGAGTTTGAGATCATAGATGAAGAACTTTCCACTCCCATCAGAAGACCTTATAGAATGTTTCCATCAGGTTGGTTTTCCTGATGCGGCTTGCGCCTCAGCCTAGGCGTGCGCCTTTTGAAAATTTGACGCTTTTTTGCTTTTTTTGAACGTAGCAGCTGGACCCGGGGCTCCACCAATGGTAGACATGTTCATGGGCCAGGTAGCCCGACGGCCCGACCGGGCTTGGTCATATAATTAGGCCCGCGGGCCTGACCTCGGGCTTAACACAGTAAGCCCGACTGTGTTTCGGGCCGGGCTCGGGATTTGTCAAAAAAGCCCGGCCCGGCCCGGCCCGACTCAGTATTATATATTTTATA